GTCAGTAGTAAGAAGGAGAAGCTGGCAGAGGTGGAGATTTGGAGGAAAGTGGGCTGGGAAGGGCTTTTCTGCATCCCAGATTGCCTCATGCCGAGAATGAAAATGGGAAAAGTACCCTCTGGCCTGCCTGGTGCCAGGGAAGCTCAACTTGATGTTCTCTGGCCAGCACAGCCTGGCGAATCTCCATGTGGGTGTCACTGGCTTTTGTTGCAGTGAGAAAGAACCAAATCTGTGGGACAGGCAGATAAATTCGCTTTTCCTTTTTACATCCTTGGCTTGCTTATTAAGATGGTGGGCAGCTGAGTCTGGCCAGCTAGATCCAGGCACTGTCCCTGGTCTGGCTGCAGTGATGGGTGGATGGGACATGTGGACAGACTGCTAGGCGCGTTAGGAGCCTTCATGAGAGGCAGGGCTTTTGGGAGTGGCTGACGCACACTTGGTATGCAGGAGTTGCAGGTTGTCCCTGCACAGCTGCTTGGCTTAGATCTGAGCACCGGGACGGTCCTCTTCCCATGGTGCTGGGTCTGAAGGTCTTTGAGAAAGTTCACTGCYAAAAGCAGGTCTGAGGAGAGCATGAGGACGCTGGAGGATGGGACTGGAGCTCAGCCTCCAGAGGCAGGCACCTCTGGCTTGGGTTCCACGTCTGAGACCTGTTGTGGGCATGGCATTTCTTCCATGTGGAGTCTTATGTGTGGTGAAGGGGATCAAACCAGGGCCTCATGCATGCCAGGCACGCACTACTGCTGAGCCCCACCACGGCCCATCCAGGCTCCAGGGATTCTGTCACTGAGTGTGGCTCACTGTGCTCTTGCTCCAATTGCAGTTCTTCCACTACTCCCAGGGACAAGTGTACCTGGGCAACTACCCCCCCCCCCCATTTAAGGACAGAATCAGCTGGGCTGGAGACCTGGACAAGAAAGATGCGTCCATCAACATAGAAAACATGCAGTTCATTCACAATGGCATCTACATCTGCGATGTCAAGAACCCTCCGGACATCATTGTCCAGCCTGGGCACATCAGGCTGTACGTGGTGGAGAAAGGTACTTGGCCCTTCAGCGTCTCCACGGTGGTGGCCATCCTCTATCCCAGGCTCCACTAGGAAAAAGAGTGACCTGTCAGTTGTGTTTGGAGGGAGGGCTTTAGCCAGACAGCTGTGCTGCCTGTGTCTGTGGACCTGTGGCCCACCCCCCCCCAGCCCTGGCTGCTGGGAACTGCCTGTTGTCTGGCTGTGTCACTGATTCCCCAATCAGGAGCCTGTGGACCTGATCCTAGGGATATTGGCTTTTCAGTGTTGATTGTACAGAACCTGAATTGATGGTGGCTAGTTGTAGAGGACAGTGGGAAAGAAGAA